GCATAAATAAATTTCAGTTATAACTGAAACTCCAAAGCTATTTTTGAAATCTGAAGTCTTCTTAAAAATTCAATCTATATTCTTCTCTCATTAATTCCATCTTCTCTCAGACTAGAGGAATTATAAAATTTAAGGAAGGGGTGTCACTATCTCGGAAAACATACTATTTCTCAATTTAAGACATAATATCGTAGTTTTAACTTTCAGTTTTTTAAATTATAATATATCTATCCTAAGCTAGGAAGTCGTATTAAAAAGGCCACGTTGTCACCGAAGACGTCATTAAATCATTTCATGACAAGAATTTAATCACTGTCTCCAATCTGACAGCATTTAATATGGTCTAAACACACTGACTTTGCAGAACTAACTTTGAAGTAATTGTGTTCAAGGTTGAGGATGTTTGCACATACTTTTAAAACTTTTTTTTTAACAGCTTTAGACTCCATCAAGATGTAGTGACCCCGAAAAATGGCTGAGCTAAAATAAAAGCCAACTGTGCTTAAAACGCTGAAATAAAATACTGAGTTTTAAATTTGATAACTTATCACTTGACAGCTTCGGAGTTCAACTGAAAAAAATATATATACATAAGACGTTAGGCTGGCAGATATAATTTTCTGATGTTCTAGTTCCTGCAAAATTGTAATGTTTAAAGATCTTAAAATTTTACATATATGTTGTTTTAGTTGGTCAACACTGTGATCCAGTCCTCTTATAAGTAGTGAAACAATGTGAATATACTTGAAATCCTGAGCAAAACATTCAATTATTGAACATGTTTACCCCAAACAAATGAGAGAGTAATGGATCATTAAATACTCCATTTAAAAAATGTTTCTTCACAAGGGCTATTTTTATGTCAGATTCATGCAAATATGGTGCTTAAAAGTGGGTTTCAAAATTCAGTCCAAAAAACCAATGCCCCAGGTAGACAAATCATTTCCAAGAACAGAAAATCCATAAATAAGATATAGTTAAGCTCCCCCAAATTCAAAATAAATTACATAACTTACTCTGTTTTCCTTCTTTGTTTGTCCTCAAAGATGTCATTGAGATTGATGGCCACCTGCCCTAAAAACTTATCCAGACCCACCAGGGACCTGTGCATAACTATGAGGAAAAGAATGTATTTCTCTGGATTCCCCTGCATTAGCAATCCAGGTAGCTCAAAAGAGGCCTCTTCCTTCCAGACTGGCTCAAGGGTTTTCTCAGCCACAGAGGTGGAGTACTTCTCCTTGCCCAGCTGAATTATAGTGTACGTGTCATTGGTGCCACTTTTGCCTTTTGGCTTAAGATCTTTGGCTTGGAGCACTGTGACCTGCACGTGGGTTGGAAACCACTTTTGGGCTTGCTCGGAAAGCATCATTTCTGTCCTTTTTCTTTGCACCGAGTTCAACAGCGCAGGCAGTGCCCCTCCCGGAGGCAGAGCCTAATTCCTTAATCACTGCATCCTAAGGGCACTTAACGGAGACAGGCAAACTCACAGCTGCCCGACTTCCCTAGGGCTGATGTCCAAACGCCTCACTGGGGCAGCCCGGGGGCACGGGTGCTCTGGGCGGGGGTCCCCTTTCCTCCGGAGATGTACAGGGGCCCACCATCACCTGGCC